AAGTTTCTGGAGTATAACAACTATCTTTAAAGGAAGTACCACACAATTAAACAAGAAATAACACTTTCAAACCAGAAACATTTTTTTTCAAATTTTGTTATGTAGTGTTACGTGTTTTAACTATGTTGCAACCTGCCTCAATAGGAGTCCCCAGTGGCGCAGTGCTGGCAGGATTGAAGACCGACAGGTCGCAGGTTCGAATCTGGGGAGAGTGCGGATAAGTTCCCTCTGTTAGCTCCAGCTCCCCATGAGGGGACATGAGAGAAGCCTCCCACAAGGATGGTAAAACATCAAAACATCCGGGTGTCCCCTGGGCAACATCCTTGCAGACAGCCAATTCTCTCATACCAGAAGCAATTTGCAGTTTCTCAAGTTGCTCCTGACACAAAAAAAAAACCCAAACAAACCCCTCAAGCCACAAAGAGAAGCAGGTAAAAATAAATTAAATTTATTATTATTATCATTATTATTATTATTATTAAGAATAATAAACATTGCACTGATGTGGCATTGGGGGCTGTGTGGTGATGGTGTGTGTGTGGAGGGATGGTGTATTATTTTGCTGTATTCAAAGGAAAGCATGTAATTTCATTGACAAATGAAATGACAAACAATGACAAATAAAGCTATTTTATTCTCCTCTAGTATCATAGAATCAAACTTTTCCACTTGGGACCCTTTTTACCCGACCAGTTTTTAAGCATGAATTTAAACTTGTGTCCTTAGTTTCAACTCTGTTTTGTGCATTATAATATGTAATATGTATGTATTTTTAATATGTTTGAATCCGGGGAGTGGGGTGAGCTTCTGCTGTCAGCCCCAGCTTCTGCCAACCTAGCAGTTCAAAAACATGGAATATGAGTAGATCAATAGGTACCACTCCACAGGAAGGTAACAGTGCTCCATGCAGTCATGGTGGCCACACGACTTTGGAGATATTTACGGACAATGCCAGCTCTTCAGCTTAGAAATGGAGATGAGCACCAACATCCAAAGTCAGACACGGCTGGACTTAATGTCAGGGGAAAACCTTTACCTTTACTTTGAGGTACAAAAGTCAAAATCAGCATTTGCAAGGCCTGCCAATCAGGCTGGTGTTCCTTTTGATGAAGTCCAGCTGGAGCCTCTTCTGCAGAATCCACTCCAAACCCTGCCTGCTTTTTTGCTTAACAGATTCATAAGAGCAAACCTTTTCCTGATGCCAAATCTTTCAGGACCCCAACATTGAGCAAAGGATTGGGACTTGCAGTTTCAGAAGCAGTGCTCTGTGTTGAGACAAGAGAACACTGTGAGTAATAGTAACAACAGGGAGTTTTGTGTTGAGACAAGTTTTGTGTGTCAGGAGCAACTTGAGAAACTGCAAGTCGCTTCTGGTGTGAGAGAGAATTGGCCATCTGCAAGAGCGTTGCCCAGGGGACTCCCGGATGTTTTGATGTTTTAGCATCCTTGTGGGAGGCTTCTCTCATGTCCTCGCATGGGGAGCTGGAGCTGACAGGGGGAGCTCATCCATGCTCTCCCTGGAATTGAATCTCTGACCTTTCGGTCTTCAGTCCTACTGGAAAGGTAGGGGGACTCAAGGGTTGGTGACCCAGCGATCATAGTATTACCCAAGGGTTTAACCCATTGTGCCACTGGGAGCTCCTATTTGAAGATAACTTGCCATGAAGATTCTGGTATGTTCCTCTTAGGACAGTGTTTCTCAACCTTCCTAATGCCACGACCCCTTAATATAGTTCCTTATGTTGTGGTGACCCCCCCCCCCCCCCCCCCCCGCCCACAAAAAACATGAAATCATTTTTATTGCTACTTCATAACTGTAATTTTGCTACTGCTATCAATTGTAATGTAAATATCTGGTGTATTTTCATTGACTGGACCAAATTTGACACAAATACCCGATACACCCGAGTTAGAACATTTGTGGGTTTTTTTTTGGGAGGGGGGTTGATTTTGTCATTTGGGAGTTCTAGTTGCTGGGATGTATAGTTCACCTACAATCAAAGAGCATTCTGAACTCCACCAACAATGAAATTGAACCAGACTTGACACACAGAATTCTCATGACCAATAGAAAATACTGGAAGGGTTTGGTGAGCATTGACCTTGAGTTTTGGAGTTGTAGTTCACCTACGTCCAGAGAGCACTGTAGAGTCAAACAATGATGGATCAGGACCAAACCTGGCACAAATACTCAATATGCCCAAATGTGAACACTGGCAGAGTTTGGGGGCAAATAAACCTTGACATTTGGGAGTTGTAGTTGCTGGGATTTATAGTTCACCTACAATCAAAGAGTATTTTGAACTCCACCAACAATGGAATTGAACCAAACTCGACACACAGAATCTCCATGACCAACAGAAAATACTGTGTTTTCTTATGGTTTTTGGCGACCCCTCTGACACCCCCGTGTGACCCCTCCAGGGGTCCCGACCCCCAGGTTGAGAAACACTGCCTTAGGATCTCCATAAATTGGAAGTTATTTATTTCGTATCAAAAACATTGCATAAATTAGTATAAAACTGATAAAAATAGAAATTGTGCAGGCGGCTAAATATCTGTTGATTAAAAACGGGCAACAGCGACAGCATTGTCTGTAGCCTCCAACAATTCCTCCTCTGTACATGAGGCAGGGCACAATGGACAAACATACAGATGCCGAGTTGTCTGTTCTGCTTCACAAGGTATGAGATTCTTTTAGGTATTTGTTTCTGGTCCAGACTACCTGTCCGAACATATCTCCTGCCATGAACCATTGCAAAGTTTAAGATCTTCAGGAGAGGCCCTGCTTTCGATTTCACCATCGCAAACACAGTTGATGGGGACAAGAGACAGGACCTTCTCAGCAGTGGCCCCCCACCTATACAATGCCCTCCCTAGAGATATCAGATTGGCCACCTCCCTCTTGTCTTTTAGAAGGAAAATCAAGACCTGGTTATGGGACCAAGCGTTTGATCAGTGAGCAGCAAGTGGAAGAAGATCACACAACTTATGGCAATGAATTGACCCGGACTGGTTTTTGGATTTCGATTTTAATGGATGTGTCTTAATTAATTGTTTTAATTGTTGTTTCAATATTTTTAATATTTTGATTGTACTGTGGTTGTTTTTATGATGCTAGCATCGTATGATGCTTTTGTTAGGCTGTCCTGAGTCCCCCTTCGGTGGGGAGAAGGGTGGGGTATAAATATAATTAATAAATAAATAATAAATAAATAAATAAATTTGCTTTTTTAAATGGGAAGTTATTGGAAGGATCAACAACAACAACAGTGGACTAGGGCAGTGTTTCTCAACCTGGGGGGCGGGAGGGGTCACAAGGGGGTGTCAGTGGGGTCGCCAAAGACCATCAGAAAATATAGTATTTTCTGTTGGTTGTGGGCTCTGTGTGGGAAGTTTGGCCCAATTCTATTGTTGGTGGGGTTCAGAATGCTCTTTGATTGTAAGTGAACTATAAATCCCAGCCACACTACAACTCCAAATGTCAAGGTATATTTTCCCCAAACTCCACCAGTGTTCACATTTGGGCATATTATTGAGTATTTGTGCCAAGTTTGGTCAGATCCATCATTGCTTGAGTCCACAGTGCTCCGGACGTAGGTGAACTACAACTTCAAAACTCAAGGTCAATGCCCACCAAATCCTTCCAGAATTTTCTGTTATTCATGGGAGTTCTGTGTGCCAAGTTTCATTCAATTCCATTGTTGGTGGAGTTCAGAATGCTCTTTGATTGTAGGTGAACTATACATCCCAGCAACTACAACTCCCAAATGTCAAGGTTTATTTTCCCCAAACTCCGCCAGTGTTCACAAATGTTCTAACTCGGGTGTATCGGGTATTTGTGTCAAATTTGGTCCCGTCGATGAAAATACACCAGATATTTACATTACAATTGATAACAGTTATGAAGTAGCAACAAAAATGATTTCATGTTTGAGGGGTCACCACAACATAAGGAACTGTATTAAGGGGTGGCGGCATTATTATTATGCACAGTTAAAGCTCGTGCGCCAGCTGCGCCCGTACCTTGGGAAGTCTGACTTGGCCACGGTAGTCCACGCACTGGTTACATCCCGTATAGATTACTGCAACGCTCTCTACGTGGGGTTGCCTTTGAAGACGGCTCGGAAGCTACAAATGGTCCAACGATGCGGCAGCCATGATACTAACAGGAGCGGAGTGCAGGGAGCACACAACTCCTCTGCTGCACCAGCTCCACTGGCTGCCGATTTGCTACCGGGCTCAATTCAAAGTGCTGGCGTTGGCCTTTAAAGCCCTAAACGGTTGTGGCCCAAGCTACCTATCCGAACGTATCTCTGCTTATGAACCCACCAGGACTCTAAGATCTTCTGGGGAAGCCCTGCTCTCGATCCCGCCTGCATCACAGGCACGGATGGCGGGGATGAGGGACAGGGCCTTTTCTGTGGTGGCCCCTCGGCTGTGGAACGCCCTTCCCATGGACATTAGATCAGCCCCTTCGTTAATGGTGTTTCGAAGAAAACTAAGAACCTGGCTGTTCGAACAGGCCTTCGGTTAAACAATTGCAATGTACACGATGAATATAGGAAACGGAATTATGGAAGACGAATTGGATCACGATTCTAGTTACGAGACGTTAATGTGTTGTTATTGATGTGTCATTTTGTATATTATGCTGTTAATGGTTTTTAAATTTTGTATGCTGTTGGATTGACTTTTGCTCTTGTTGTAAACCGCGTTGAGTCGCCTACAAGGCTGAAAAATTGCGGTATACAAGCAAAGTAAATAAAATAATTATGAAGGTTGAGAAACACTGGACTAGGGAATAGATCCGAGAGCCATCGACTTTGGGAAGAGGGGTTTTTGCTGCGTCCTAGGGGTGCTTTCATGCCCACCCGCAACTCTTTGTGGGGCAGGAAAAGCAAAGGCAGCCGCCAGGGAGCCCAGGGCGCGCTCCTGCCTTTGCTGCTGCTTTTCTCTCTCTCGGCGCGCGCGCGCTCCCGAGGCAGGAAAGCAAGGCGGGTGCGCGCAAGCTCCCTGGCTGCCTTTCCGCGGCTGCTCTTCTTCTGAGCAGAGACAGAGAGGAAGCAAGGCAGAGGAAGGAAGCGCGATCGCAAGAGACGGCCGGCAGCAAGGCAGGCAGGCAAGCGGAGTTGTGGCTGTGCGGGCAGGCGGCGCGGGGCGCATGGAGCCGTGGAAGCAGTGCGCCCACTGGCTGATCCAGTGCCGGGTGCTGCCCCCGAACCACCGGGTGACCTGGGAGGCGGCGCAGGTGTTCGACCTGGCCCAGACCCTCCGCGATGGCGTCCTCCTCTGCCAGCTCCTCAACAACCTGCGCCCACGCTCCATCAACCTCAAGGAGATCAACCTGAGGCCGCAGATGTCCCAGGTAAAGTCCGGCGCCCGCGGTTCCTCCTCCTCGGCTCTTCCTTCCTTTCTCTCTCTCTCTCCCCATCTCCCTCTCTCTCTCCGCCTCGTCCCACGCTCTTCTCCCTCGCCTCCTTAATGCCTTTGTTCCAATGCAGGAGGTCACTTGGCTTTGCCTCTCCGGAGGTGAGCCACCTTTCACTCCGGGAAGGATGCCTTGTGAAGCGGGCCAAGAGGTGCCAGATGCGCCCCGAAGAGGCTTTCCAGGAGAGAGTTTGGAAAGAACAAAGGTTGAAGGTCTCCAGGGAGCTGGGGAAGCTGGCAGCTCTTTTGCAAAGAAGGAGATCATAATACTAATACTAAATAATAATAATAATACTAAAAATAAATAATAATAATAATAATGTTATGTTTTAACTTTGGTCATTATAAATAAAAAAATAGCCCGGAAAACTCACAACCACCCAATGAAGTTGGGGAAGCTGGCAGTTCTTTTGCAAAGGAGATAATAATAATAATAATAATAATAATAATAATAATAATAATAATAATTTAAAATATTAAATAATCATAATACTAAAAATAAATTAATAGTAATGTTATGTTTTAACTTTGGTCATTATAAATTAAAAAATAGCCCGGAAAACTCACAACCATCCAATGAAGTGGTAGTAGGCGTAGTAGTAATACTAATAATATTTTATTTCTAACCCAAGGGTCTCCAAGGAGCTAGGGAAGCTGGCAGCTCTTTTGCAAAGGAGATAATAATAATAATAATAATAATAATAATAATAATAATAATAATTTAAAATAATAAATAATCATAATACTAAAAATAAATTAATAGTAATGTTATGTTTTAACTTTGGTCATTATAAATTAAAAAATAGCCCGGAAAACTCACAACCATCCAATGAAGTGGTAGTAGGCGTAGTAGTAATACTAATAATATTTTATTTCTAACCCAAGGGTCTCCAAGGAGCTAGGGAAGCTGGCAGCTCTTTTGCAAAGGAGATAATAATAATAATAATAATAATAATAATAATAATAATAATAATTTAAAATAATAAATAATCATAATACTAAAAATAAATTAATAGTAATGTTATGTTTTAACTTTGGTCATTATAAATTAAAAAATAGCCCGGAAAACTCACAACCATCCAATGAAGTGGTAGTAGGCGTAGTAGTAATACTAATAATATTTTATTTCTAACCCAAGGGTCTCCAAGGAGCTAGGGAAGCTGGCAGCTCTTTTGCAAAGGAGATAATAATAATAATAATAATAATAATAATAATAATAATAATAATTTAAAATAATAAATAATCATAATACTAAAAATAAATTAATAGTAATGTTATGTTTTAACTTTGGTCATTATAAATTTAAAAAATAGCCTGGAAAACTCAAAACCACCCAATGAAGTGGTAGTGGGAGTAATACTAATAATATTTTATTTCTAAAATATTATTAGAGCTGGGGAAGCTGGCAGCTCTTTTGCAAAGGAGATAATAATGATAATAATAACTTAAAATAATAAATAATCATAATACTAAAAATAAATAATGTTATGTTTTAACTGTGGTCATCTATATAAACAAAAGTGTAATGCTCGTTTGTGGGATTAACAGAACTCAAAAACCAGTGGGCAAATTGACACCAAATTTGGACAGCATACACCTAACAACCCAGGCATGTAGCCGGGGGGGGGGGGGGGGTCACCCCCCCCCCCCCCAAATTCTCATGGTGGTCCGTGAACAGGCCTTACTGGTACATTATTTAAACTGTTATGTTTATTCATATCATGATCTGATCACCATGCTCAATATATCCCATATGCATGGGGGTATTGGGGTAACGATACAAAAGGTTTGCTAGGGTAGACCCTCTTTCACTCAGACTCAGCCCCCCCCCCCGAACCAAACTCAGCCCACCCACCCCCAAAACAAAATCCTGGCTATAGGCCTGTAACAACCTAATGTATGTACTTCACTCAAAATTTTTTGATTTTGTCATTTGGGAGTTGAAGTTCTTGGGATGTATAGTTCACCTACAATCAAAGAACATTCTGAACTCCACCAATGATGGAATTGAACTAAAGGTGACACACAGGACTTCCATGACCAAGCATGTAGCCGGGGGGGCTCGGGGGGCTTCAGCCCCCCCGAAATTTTCATGGTGGTTCGCTAAAAGGCCTTACTGGTGCATTATTTAAACTGTTATGTTTATTCATATCATGATCTGATCACCATACTCAATATATCCCATATGCATGAGGGTATTGGGGTAATGATACAAAAGGTTTGCTAGGCTAGACCCTCTTTCACTCAGACTCAGCCCCCCTCCAAAACTCAGCCCCCCCAAACTTGGCACAACTATTCCATATGCCCAAATATGAACACAGATTGAGTTTGGGGGAAATAGCCTTGATATTTGGGAGTTGTAGTTACTGGGATTTATAGTTCACCTACAATCAAAGAGCATTTCGAACCCCACTAATGACAGATTTGGGGCAAACTTCCCACACAGAACCCCCATGTCCAACAGAAAATACATAAGGCCATCCAGTCCAACTCCCTTCACCAGGGCAAGAAAACATAATCAAAGCCCTCCAGACAAAGAGCCATTCAGCCATAGATATAGATATATATGATTCACACACACACAGATATAATATCCTAGATTTGAAAGGGACCCCTAAAGAAGGACAATTATATGTTGCATGTTTCCGAGTAGGCAAACCGAACAATCTCCACATCAACACTGACAAAGAAACAGCAAGAAATACTGCTTACCCACAAGCATAAAGGAATTACATATATTAAAATCCAGCACTTTATCATTACTTTATTTTCCAGATCACCAGACTCGGCCACAGCAACACGTGGCAGGGGACAGCTAGTCTGTATAAATAAAAATGTAATGTTCATTTGTGGGATTAACATAACTCAAAAACCACTGGACGAATTGACACCAAATTTGGACACAATACACCTATCAGGCCAACGAGTGACCATCACTCATAAAAACACTGACAAAAACACAGCAGAAGGGACTTAAAAAGCACGCCCCCAATACATTACATTGCAACGCATGCACAAAACCCCATAAATATACACAAACACACACACATATACACACATATATGCATATACACACACAAAACACATGCACAGAAAGGAAGGAAGGAAAGAGAGAAGGAGGCAAAGAAGGAGGGAAGGAGAGAAAGAAGGAAAGAAAGAAGGGCAGAGAAGGAAGGAAGGAGAGAAGGAGGGAGAGAAAGAGGGAAAGAAGAAAGGAAGGAGAGAAGGAAAGAAAGAAAGGTAGAGAAGGAAACAATCAAACAGTAGAACTCCACCAGCAATGGAATTGAACCAAACTTGGCACACAGAACTCCCATGAGTTTTGGAGTTGTATTTCATCTACATCCAGAGAGCACTGTGGACTCAGACAATGATGGATCTGGACTAAACTTGACATGAATATTCAGCATGCCCAAATGTGAACACTGGTAGAGTTTGGGGAAAATAGATTTTGACATTTGGGAGTTGTAGTTGCTGGGGTTTATAGTTAACCTGCAATCAAAAAGCTCTCTGAACCCAGCCAACAGTGGATCTGCACCAAACTTGACACACTATCTACATGGCCAACATTGAATACTGGTGGGGTTGGGGGAGGCTGTTTTTGAATTCTGGGAGTTGTAGTTCACCAACACCAAAAAGGAAGAGAATAACAGGTGGAGAGATCTTCCGCCTTCTCTGCCAAAAGGGTTCCTAAGACCACCTTGATGGCAAGCACCTCTGTTTTGCTTGATTCAGTTTCAATTTGCTTTTCCTCATCATTCAGTTTCAATTTGTTTTTTCCTCATCCAGCCCATTACCTGCTCTAGGCATTCATTCAAAGAAGACATGCTATCCTTATCTGAAGCTGTTTTTGAAGGCACAGAGTAATATGTTTGGGTATCATCAGCATACTGAGATCAGTTAGATCTGGAAACAAATCTAACTGTTTGTAAACTGCTGTGAGTCGCCCTCGGGCTTGAGATACAGCGGTATACAAGAATAGTAAATAAATAAATAAATAAACAAACAAACAGGACCAACAGACTCCACCCCCCCATCAGTAATAACAATATTTCGCCTTTTCTTCATCCCATTGTTTTTCTCTCTCTCTCTTGATGTTTGGAACTTTGTAGGAATAGTCTGTCAAGGATGGAGGGAAAAGATACAGTTTTGCATCCCTGACTGTGTTCTTTTGTGTTTATATATACACTTGTTTTTAACTTCAAATTTGTTTTAATTTTGTTTAACTGGGAATCTTAAAAATGCTGTTTATATTTAATCCTGTTTTTATGTTCACATATTTGTATATTTTAAATGGTTATGCTGATGCTTTTACGTTAAGCCGCTTTGAGTCCCCTTCAGGGGAAATAAAGCGAGGAATAAATAAATAAAATAATAAAATATAGTTTAGGAAACCTCCGATGCCCAGGTTAGGGATTTTGTAATGATAAATATACTATGTAACACGATTTTTGTTCCTGGGCTATTAATGTCATTTCCCAATTGGTTCTATCATAAAAACATGGGATTTTTTTAAACTTCTAAAACTTTGTTTTTGCGGGATACTCTGCAGCACATTTTGCTATACTCTTTCAATTAATATCTCATTGAGTCTCAACCAATTCAACATTGTTTGTGGCAGCCACAAAAATGAAGTTTCTGGAGTAGAAACTTTCAAAGTAAGTACCACACAATGAAACAGGAAATAACACTTTGAAACTAGGAACAGAATTTTTTTACATTTTGTTACATAGTGGTATTATAAGTAGTCATTCGTTATTAATGGTTGCATGAGAAAGTGCATAAGGATGTGAGTAAAATACATCCCCCCACCAAAAAAACCCCAAAACCCTGCCAGTATTTAAAGTTGGTCTGGTGGTTATGTATGCCAAGTTTGTTCCTGATCCAGAGTGTCCTTTGATTGTGGGTGAACTATAAGTCCCAACAACATGGGTTAAC